AGGTGTTCGTTGCTTTGTGGTTGTGACGCTGTTTCGTTTCGATGATGAAATCTGGCGGCCAGAAATGAGCACATGGGTGTTCTATAGCTGTGGTGTGATAAAACTAATTTCGGGAACGTGAACAAATCACCTTTGTACCGATTTGGTCCGACTCGTAACTGCCCATCCTCGATCCAAAGATCGATAACGTTAAGAGACTGAATGGCGTATCACATGCTTTTCGACGTTATTTCACGATTGTATGCCGTCGCACCATTATACGTGTGAACGGCCAACAGTGTCATACATTTTAAATAATTTTTCAGGCTTTTCTCCGGTTTACGGTCTGTCGTCACCAGGGCGTCACCTTCTAAAAATCGATTGAAAACATAGCCAAAAGCGTCAACCTAAGCTAACGCCAAATCTAGATTTCTCCTCTGATTTCGGCCAACTTGATTTGTGTCCCTGATGTGAAAAGTTGAATGACAAAGACTACAGATTTAGTCGGTCCCAAATTGTTTTGATGCTGAGGAATGAGTTGTTATTTGAAGCCGATGTGAAAGTGACAATGATGAATATGACGATCATGATATTGGTAGTGATGCGTGTAGGTAAGCATTGTACTAACACTTCAGACACTCGCCGCATTTCATTGGTCCAGTGTTCCTTTTTGCTCATATGCAACACAGTATAATATCAAGGGTGCTCAAGTCAGCATGAGGGGACTTAGGTCCTCCAAAAGTACACAAAGTGACACCCATGGTTCCTAAGTTTACACAACGGTGGGAGTTATGTATTCTGTTAACATTTCTTCGCCGCTCATAGGTGCCTCTTTTAGCTCCTGGCTATTGTGCAAGTAGCAACTAACTGCTTGTTTCATTTGTATCGGGTTGCATTTAAGAAATTTGGAGCATCCATTGTTCAAAAGCGTAGATTCTGTAGGAATATTCATGTCTCCATGACTGAAACGCAGAGACGCGCAGTTGAACACGATAGTAAAAGTCGCTTCCACCGGGCTGGTTAAGAAGGCTGTGTTTCCCCGCCAAAATTTCACCACGGCACACGTGTTACGACTCTGCGTGATGAGAAACTGATAAGAGCTTTGGAATGACTGCTGACGTTGTGTTTGTGATTTCTGCGGCAACTGATTTTGATTGGATTAAATAAGCATTGAGATTTTGGACGCTGACTTGACTGACTTGGCGTGAAGTCAAAACTTTTATTCGGCCACCATTTAATCGACAGCTCGTGAGAGGCAAGCTTCGGTTCAGTCGCGAATTGGCATTTGGTGAGAGAAGTCTCAAACCCAGTGTCGCTGGTGCAGGTCCCGTTTTATCATAGGGATAATAAGTCGGGCCAATGTTGTCCCATAAATCCAGCTCAGGGGCATGGGTCATTATCCACACAACAAGCTGTGCGTGTGTGAACTCTGATCTCCACATTACGAGACCCAATGAGTCATGCGATATAATCTGGGAACTAAATGCTGCCTTGCAACGATTGATACGAGGCACCATCTTAATATAGGCACGGATACCATGTTACTGGGTAGCGCAAACGCCGTTTGGAACGCTCAAAAAGTCTGAAAATTACATTGCGAGATGTTGGCTTGTCTTGGGCTTGCATTGTGTACGTGATGCAGGAAGCTAACACTGAAACATTTACTGACGTTATACATATGATAGCGGTTCCATCTGGAGTCGGCCTCCCCGCAGAATGGCCACTGCAGTGTCCGAGTGAGTGTTTACTGAGCCGCTACCGCATGCGCGCGGTCATGCGGCGCTCGACGGGTGGCGTGATGGTGCCGTTTCGGGTAGGGCGCGTGGCGAGCTGCGGCAGACACTGCCACACGCGTTCCAGTCGGTCAGTAGGCCGGATCAGGAATGGTGCCGGGGTTGCCATGCTGTTGAAGGGCGCGGCACAGACGGCGCTCACATGTGGGCACATGTGGTGTGGTACATGGTAGGATTAGCAGCGAACGGAGCGTGGCACAGGCTCCGGCGACAGCTGGCAATATTCGCCGTTATTGATCGCCGTTTGACGAATCAACGGTTTATTTCGTATTTTGCCAGCATCGTCTTCCGATCTATCACAATGCAACGTGCCATCGGACAGGATGACCGCCGACTTTGGGAAAAGTTACGTAGGATGTTAATGTCTTAAGTTCCATCAAATTTGGCCCAATCGGTCGCGTGATGCGCAGGTACCATGTATCGTATGGGCCGAGGGAATGTTTCGAGAGTTTCCATGTCAGGAAAAGCCTACAAATCGTTCATTGGAATCATTTGATGCAACCAAAAGTTTACATCGATTTTCGAGCGTTTTGCGTTAAAGCATCCATGGGTGTGACAAACATCGCATAAGTTATGGTTTGTGTATATAATATCCAGCATCGGCCTGTCTTCCCCCTGACTTGAACAGAAATAGCAATTGGCACAGCTGCCGACTGCCATTGTTATGAACAGGCGTTCATTCAGCATCCTGGTCAGAGCATCACGTTGTAATACGAGGCATCGAAACGATGGTAGTTAATGACGTTAAGCAATCAAGTTTTGGCATTAGCACGCGTTGCTGGATCCTGAGGTTGATGAGGAAACGTCCCACGCATGAACAAAAGACAGCGTTTCGTTGTTTTTTCTCGCGTAATGTGTTTAAGGGCGAACGTGCGCGCTTAATCGGAAGCCCTTCAGGGTGGTTTCTCAAAATCGGGTCTCCAAATATTGTTTTGAGACACTGTTTCGGCCATTTGGTGGCATTGTACCTGTAGAGTTACTATGAATGGTGTTGTGGCCCTTAACACTTATTGCTAGAGGTGAATTTCGTTGATGCAGGATATAATTTGATCTATAGTGTATCAGATTTCGTCGTTAGATTTCATCTGAGACGCGCAAGAGGTAGACATTGCCAGTTGTTCGAGCCGAAGCAAGTGAGCGCGGCAGCGGCGCTATGTTGTTTCTAATGGAGCGGTGCGAGCGTTTGATCGGCGCGGGCGGCGGCGCGCGATGACACCCGCCATTACCCCATTATGGCCCGGTCATTACGGACGCCATCACGGGGAACGGCCGGACCCCGGGCGCGCAGGAGTTGGACGCCGCGCGGACAGCTGCTTATGGCGCCGAGTGACACTAATGCCGCCTAAATATCACACAATGTCACATTCGTTCCCGGTTTTGAAGGTCTGGAATGTCTTCATCCCACCGGTAACTCATAGGCGGTGATGCACACCTTGAAACGTCCCGACGACTGCTAGATTGGCTTCCTTACAATCTTTGTATCGCGATTGGCACCTATTTTGCACGATTGGGATGTTGTTTATGCCTCGTTTCTTTGTGATGTCCTAAACAGTAAGTTGCCATCGAGATAGTGATATGATTATACCAGCGACAAAGTGAATTAGCTAGCTAGTGAAACTCCAATACCGGCTTGCCTTGATATATATTTACGTTGTTCAAAAGCGTCATAAGACAAGGCGTTCCGGGTATGAGGGGATAATTTGAAACGAGTCAAGAGTAAGAGTTTTATGGGCTTGGTGTCGTGTAGGTGCGCTGTCCGGGCCGTATTAGGATGTATATGGCCACCTGTAATTTGCTAGAGGTAAGAAGGCATTCCAGACCTTCAATGGTACGAACAAAAATCGCAATACGTGAAATTTTAGCGGCACTGGTGCCACCTGACACCATAGGCAACTGTTGGCACAACTGCTTGATGGTGGCCAACTGTTTTCATTTGTTGCAGAAATCGGATTTTGTTCATATATACACCTCGTTTATTACAGCAACTGTCATTGGCGCAATATGATCTCAGCAGTGGCCTCACCCAGGACCCCAATCAACAACAAGAAGATCCGCCGCAGTTGCGCTGTTTTATCATAACATTACGCATTTTGACGTATTTGTTACCTCACCGTCGGCTGAGCGTTTACCGTGGGCTGCTGGCACGCGTGGCGGTGCGGCCGCCGTGTGTAAGCGAGCCTGTCCGCGCGTGTGCGGCGCTATCGGCCGGCCCGGTCGGCGGGGCGCGAGCGGAGCGGCGCGCCGCACCGCTGGCGCATCCGCCCATCCAATCGACGCACCCACGCACCGATAACGGCGGCGCGCTCCAAGCACTCGCCGATACCGTGCCGGAGCGGCGTCCCTCGGCGGCGCGGGCCCGGCACCGACGGACATGGTATGTCTAGTCGCACGGCGGCGGCGCCACACCGTCCGCCGTCAGCGGTGAACTGCTCAGCAGCGGCGTGAGCGTCCCACGCGCGCGCGTGCGTAGTGTGCCGGCCGCCCGACGCTGGCCGTGTGTGCTGTGCCATCGGCGCCAGCCGGTGGCGTATAGCAGGTGTTTCCGCGACGGCGGCGGCTGTGCCGCCATGTGCCAGCGAGGGTTGGTGATGATGTCGATGTTGTCTGTCGACTGATCGGGGCTGGACCGAGGGCAACAGCTGTGTGCTGGGGCAGGCCCGCACCCCGCTGTCGATGAGATCGGTTTGCCCTTCATGACTCACGGTATGGTAAGGGTAGGCCGCGCCCCGTGTGGAGCATCGCCAGCCCACCGGGATATGACGCCCGCTATTTCTCGAGAGTATCCTGCTCATTGACTGCAGGCAGCACCAGGTCACCAGCTTTGGTGCTCCCTGTCTTGGGTGTAGAAGCCATCGCTGGGGTTGGTGATGTCCTGACCCCTGCCACTTTTGGGCAGCTTGGATTAGTTTTGTGGTGTACCGTATAAGGTCGGGTCACCAGCTGTGATATTCCCTGCGTGTCTAGCGTACCGACTGTATCATCAGGTCACCAGCTGTTGTGTTGTATGCATGCGCGGCGTCCCGATCTGGCCGCCACTGGTCACCACCGTTCCGACCGTGGGCCGCGTGCCGAGTCTGACCCGAGCATGCGACCCGAGCCCCGCCGCATGCCGAGCCTGACCCGAGCCCCAGCACTTGTCGAGCCTGACCCGAGCCCCACCGCGTGCCGAGCATCACCCGAGCCCCGCTGCGTGCCGAGCCTGACCCAAGCCCCACCGCGTGCCGACAGGACGCCGAGGCGATCGAGGTGCTGCTGAAGCAGGACATCGACCTGGGGCTGACCCGTTGCGACCTCGACCCGGCCCGCTCGCCCTCCGGCCGGCCGCACGATGGGGACGCGCCAGCGGCCGCGCCGGCCGCCGCCGGAGGGTAACGGCAAGGGGCGCCGCCCTCGGCTCGGCTGTCGGCACCCGCAGCGGCGCAGCGGCCGCCCCGCGCGCTGCTGCCAGGATGGCGGCCGGCGGCCGGTGGCGCCCCGTCTGGGCGGTCTCGCCATGTCACTGGGGTTGCTTTGCGACGCACTCAGCGGTCCTAGCGTGTGGGATGATGTGTGGATCGTCACCCAGGGTTCTCTCGAGAGGCGTGATGATGGTATGCAATCTATCATTTGCTTCTGAGAGGTGTTGCAAACACCTCACGAGTCATTCGGAACTTACAACTTGCTTTTTGATCGTGTTCGCAGACATCTTCATGACGGGGCAGGCCTGCTAATGCCAGCTGTTGTTATGCTATTTACTCCTTGCTTTTTTCCAGTATGTTGCTAGATTTGCCGTGGCGTATGCCTTTGCTTCTAAAGTTTGGTGTGGATGATGGTGCACCTTCTCCTGTTCTGTCCTTTGTGCAAATCTAATTGACCTTTCCAACAGTTCGCCAATGAGTCACTGACTGATGATGCAGTCAAGATGTTCACACTCGTCCGCGCCTCGGCGATATGGATCTTATCACTGGATCGCAGCGTGACTGGCAGCATGCTCCGGTTCCGCTCCCCGCTAATGGGGCGCCGGTGTTCCGGTGGCCTGGGCAGTGGGCGTCTGGACCGGACTGGACCAGCCGAAGCCAACCCCTCAGCCGGGCTGCATTCGGGTGCTGTTTTGTGATGTGATGTTCACCTAAAGCCCATTGGTTGTCGTGTCGCATTGTCACACTTCCTTCGACTGTAGTTCCTCATGCACTTGCTTTCGACGAGTGCACCGTCGCCTCCAAACGCCCAACATTGTACCCGTGGTCGAAAAAATTTGTACAGCATTGTGCGGTGTTTCGTCGTTTCCTTCCCCTTGTTGAGGCGTAAAGTCCTTCAGTGAGCAATATGGGCAGCGTCTTTACCTTCTGCACGTGCGACTTCGCTCATCCGCTTGTCTCGGGAGGAACCCTGGTAACAAGCAAACTACCCCGTCCATTTCCCATGACTTTTGTCTGTCGGGAACCTGCGCTGTCCGCGTCCACCCGCCACGCTCGGTCGTCTTGACGCTGTCCTTGGAAACGTGCGTCATTCCTGTCTACCTCTCCATGGGTTGGTGTTGTTATCGCTGCATCAGTGCCGCACCACATAGCACCCGTCCGTTGCCGTGGTTGCGTTGGTGCCCTCTCGAGGGCCGTGCCAGGAGCGCCCTGCGGCCGGCTCGTGATGCCTCCGCGTCCGTAACGCGCCGCGGGCCACCGCAGACCCGGCACCGGTGGCCCGAGCGCGGCGCGTGACGGGCTGGGAAACGGACGGAGCCGCCGCCGCCGCCGCCCGCCGCTGCTGGCCTAATGGGATGATTTGTGATATTGAGTGTCGCCTCCGAGCCGCCTCCGAACGGGCGTGGACCGAGATGTGGGGCTTTCGAGCCCGACCTGTGGCGCGGCGCTTCTCCCCTTTCTCACCGTCCAGTCGTCAGGCGCCGGGTTTCGACCCCGACCTGTGGCGCTGGCGCTTCTCCCTTCTCACCGTCCAGTCGTCAGGCGCCGGGTTTCGACCCCGACCTGTAGCGCCGGCGCTTCTCCCTTCTCACCGTCCAGTCGTCAGGCGCCGGGCTTCGACCCCGACGTGTGGCGCTTCTCCCTTCTCACCGTCCAGTCGTCAGGCGCCGGGCTTCGACCCCGACCTGTGGCGCCGGCGCTTCTCCCTTCTCACCGTCCAGTCGTCAGGCGCCGGGTTTCGACCCCGACATGTGGCGCCGGCGCTTCTCCTTTCTCACCGTCCAGTTGTCAGGCGCCGGGCGTGGCGTCATCACTCGGCCCATGATGACGCTGAAGAGTCTCACGATGGGTTTCTGATGGTTTTCCCCTACCGCTTGAATGTGTCTTGAGAGCATGTTTCTAGAACTTGCAGCTGTCTGTAGGCGTTCTCACGCACCAAGTGTGTGTGTATGTGTGTGCCTGTGTGTGCGCACTTGTGGTATGCGCAGATTGGCATGGATGCAACGTCTCGGTAACGTCATAAGACTATGTTGTCGGTGCTGACCCCTTGACGGACCCCACTCCAGTCGCGATGTCGTCCCACGTTCTCACCACCAGGGCGCTCCTCCTGTGGGTCCGCCAGCGGTGGCGCCCTGCTGAGTGTTATCCAGGCGTGTGTGGGTGCGGCCCTTCAGCTGACGCCGGCCGTTCCGTGGCGTCGCTCGGGATCGTGTGTCCGGTTCGGGCCGCCTGAACGCACGGCCAGCAGTGGTGGGTGACGTGGCCTCGCTGACACCGGCTGGTCGCTCTGCTTCACAGTGGCGCTCCGACTACAAGCTGGAGGAGGAGGAGGAAGAGGAGGAGGCCGGTGGCCCAGCCGGCGATCACACGCTGCACGAGCTCTGGGCCGGCCTCGACTACATGGTCGACTCGGAGACAGGTGACTAGCGACACGCGGCGCCGACCGAGGTCACGGCGCATGCGCACGGCGTCGGCGCGGCCGGCCGCTCAGCCGCCGCCAATCATTAGTCATTTGCCTGTATTCTTTCCATCGCATCAATAGGTAAGATAGAGAATTCATTAATCACCGGCTCTGGCCAGGGGTCCCGTGTATGTAACAAAGGCTCCGGTCTGAAAGCTTTTTATGCCGGCCGTTAATAGATAGAGGGAGCGCGGTCCTTGGCATCTGGCGCGCGGCGCCGGCGCTGCCAGCGGCCTCCGCCTCCCGGTTGCAGCGTGCTCTCGTGACGCCGCCTGCACGCCGCCGCCTCGGTAATTGCCTGCCGGCCACGGCCGGCCGCGCTGACGCTTCCATTGTCCGGCAGCTGGCCCTCGGTCTGCGGCCGTCTGCCGGCGGCCCTCGGCCCGGTCCGGTCCGGTCCGGCGCCGTCCGGCGCCGTCCGCAGGTGACTTCGGGTCGGAGGCGCGGCCGGCGGGTCTGCCCCGGACGAGCCGGGCTAAGTGCCGGCGTGTCAACCGCCGGCGTCTGTCCCAGCTGGGCCCAGGATGGCGCGTCGGGCCGCGTCTGGGCGCCGACGCCAGCCGCGCCGACCCGGACATCTGCCGATGGCACGGCGCGGCTCTGCCGGCCGCCTGGTCGCTTCGGGCTCGGTCGGTTTGGTTTCGGCTGTGGGACGGGGCGCTCGCTGCTCGCACCTGGCCTCAGGTCCGAGCTGTTGTCCGCTCGTGTGCTCTTGTCCGGCGCTTGACGGCTTCTGGTCTGGGCCTTTTCCTGTACCTGGCCTGGTTTGTGGTCGCCGCTCTGGTCAACCGTCAGGTGGCGGGTCCCGACCTGAGTGCCCTTGTCCGGTCGCTCCTTCCTCGTGGCGGCGTCTGTGCAGACTCCCCGCCTGGTGGCCTCCCTGGTGGCCATGTCCGGGTGGACTCCTGGCCCAGTCCTCTGCTCGCGAGGCCTGGATGGATGTCTTGTCCACGGCCGCGGCGAGTGAGCGCGCCGCGACCCTCTCCTCGTGACCGTGCGTGGGCGGGCCGCAGCCCGGTCGCCCCACTCCTCGTGACGGGGCGGCTGGCGGCCGTGACGCGTCCCGGCCGGGCAGGGCGTGCCGCCGCCGCCACGCTGAGGGCGCGGCCGGCCAGCGCCGCCGGCCGCGTCCACCATCAATCGCGCGCAGGTCTGCACGGTCGCCTGTTTGCGCCGCGCCGTGCGCCGCGGCGTGTGCAGATCGGCATCGCGCCGCGCACGGCCGCTCGCCGCTCGCCGCTGATTAATGATGGCCGCCGCTTAATGCTGATCGGGCCCGGCCGAAAACACGCATTCACGCCATGCTCTGGCGCGCCGGCGGCCCGGCGCCGGACACGGCTGCGCCGGGACACGGCGCGGCGGGACGCGGCAGCCGGCCGGCGGCGGCGGTGGGCTCGCTGCCGGCGCGGCCGGGTGGTGGCGGCGCGTCCTCCGGGTCGTCGCCGTCCCTTTCGCGCCGGCTTTGTCCGAAGTAAAAAGTCACTCCAAATAATGGAATAATGGCAAAAAATCGCACAAGAAGTCGGCCAGGGAGATGGCGGACCTGTGATTACTCGCCGGCGACGGCGTCGCGTCGCTCCGCCGGCCGACCGCGCCGCCATTTTGTCGGCACCGCCTGCGGCCGTTCCAGCGCCGCTGCACCATTGCACTCGTTGCTGATTGCCGGCCGCGGGAGGCGCGCCGCCTCCGCCTCTCGCCGAAGACGGGGGCAACCCCGGCAACGGCCGGACTCCCCCGCCAGTGGGTCACCAGCGCCGGACGCCTGCGCGCGCTCCGTCAGACGCGGCGTGCTCACTGTGGGCGCTGCGCGGCGACGGCGCACGGCGGTGGTCGACACTCTGTCGCAAGGTAGGCAGGGAGCGGCGCCGGGCGCGCGCGCGCCGCCGCCGGCTCGTCCGGCCCGCTGTCGGCCCGCGAGTGCCGCCGCCGTGTGATGACTGCCCCCCGCCGGCCCGCGCTGACTCTTCAGAAGGCCGGCAACAGGCGAGTCATAGCCCAGCGGATTGTCATCCTGCTGGCCGTCCAGAGACGGGGGCTGGAGCGCGGGCGGCTGCTGCACTCGGAGTGCGAGGAGGTCAGCCTCAGCTCTGGTACGGCTTGTGGAGGTCGGGGAGGTCGTCGCGCGCTGATGGCCCACTGGCGTTTTGGCGACCGGTGGAGGCGGCCTTTCCGGGCGGAAGCCGCGGTGGAGTCGTGTCCTTTTCGATGGTGATTGTGAGTTCGCGAGAGTCTGCATCGTCTTTGATCGCGGAGTGGGAATGTCATGCTGGCGGCTCCTGTTGTGGGTCGCCACCGAGCCGGAGGGTCGTGCTCGACCCACCAGCGAGGGGTTGTGCCAACAGGTGTGGTAGACCGAGGCTCGGCTGCCGTGTTTACCCGTGGTCGGGACTGATGCTGAACTCGGCGCTGGGGGGCGGCACCTCCAGACACGGTCTTTATGTGATCTTCATTAGCATGCACCACGGGTTGATTCT